TCGGGTCAAAGTCCACCTTGTTAACCGCGCGGAGGAGAGCGAACGCGAAATAAATTAAAAAGATAAAAAGAAGAAGAATAAACGAGATGTTGAGTCGTATAATTTTTTTCACGGTTCCGGGCCGCGGCGGCGCGGCAACGGTTCTTGCGCGGCTTAATGCGACACAACCTAAGCCAAACAACCTAACTCCAACGTAAACCCCCACGTGGATACGCGGTTTAGAATCGCGGGAGAGGAGCCGAACTGACCACCTTAAACCTTGCACCTTATTCAAGACTCACCACTCGGGCTCCGGCTCAGAGCTCGCGAGCCCGCCCCCGCATCCAGCTTTCAACCCTTTTATCCCTGTTTGGCCGGCTCCCGCGCTGACCCTGCTTATCCCCTCCCCGGCTTCACACCAGCTTTGCACTCATTTACTCCCACACGAGGCCCGTTACTGCCAACGTCTTAACGACGATCCCTTGTTTGGACTTTGCATCATAAAGGGATGTTTAAAGAAGAGGCCACTATTTGTCATCCGAGGACATAATCAGGTAAAGGAGCCAACCGTTGGGATCCAAGAACAAAGCGAATCAACTCCGCGGGCCATTGCCATCCGGCCAGCGCGGATCTCTAATAAATAGTCCTGGATCAACATTTTTTTCCCCCGGTCTTTTCATCAGCGCCCGACATCTTCCTTTCCGTTTCGGCAGATTTTAATCGATGACCATTGCGTCACGGGAGCCTGCACTCGGAGAAAAAGTTTGGATGTAAAGACTGAACTTTGGTTCATATCTTTTTGTGAGGGTGTGTGTGTGTGTGTGTCGCACTAAGTGGCTTTCAAATTTACTGGAAAAAAAAAACACATTGGATCTAGAGTCCAGACTCTTAAAAACATTGACAAGAAAAAGGACTCTTGATTCAATCAGATTTAAGCTTAAATCATAAGGAAATCCGCTCAAATTAAGAGGCTTGGTTTTTGATTTAACCTTAAAAATCTGATTGAATCAAGAGTACTTTTTCTTGTCGATGTTTTTAAGAGTCTGGACTCTAGATGCAATGTGTTTATTTCCAGTGTTTCCAAGGTAACACCCAGATACGTAGAGACATTTTGACTAACGATAAAACTGCACAAGTAAAATGGGGAAGGAATTTAAGAGCGCGTTGTGAAACTAGAAAAATTATTGAATGACATATTTCTTGTGTGAGTACTAAAATTTTTCAGTTCAGGTAACTGAAGTTTTCGATCATAGGAACCGCATTTTGAGAAACTGCCCAGAACCTTTGTTTATGTATTTAAAAAAGGGGATATTCATCATGATTTGAAATTCAATCCTCGCAACAGAACTTTTTTCCTAAGTGTAAACTGGGGAAGAACAGCTACACACTGAAGAAAATATCTATGTCATTGAAATTGCTAAAAATTTAATTTGCTACTTGAAACGTCAAAAAAAGTGACTATGTACAACAATACTTCTTTGTACAATCTGTAAGTCGTAATCTTCTCTTTTGTTCTGTGCATCTCAAGACTTAAGATCAAGTTCCGAGAGAGAGATTTAAGAACCAACAACTCTACGTGGAAAACTCAATAGACATATTCACAAGTGCGAGTTTGAAAAAATGAGGCTTAGGAAAAATTGAAGGAGTGAGTGACTTATATAACGAAGAATGCAAGTCAAATTTATAGAATGAGGAAAACATTTTAAATCCTTTTACTCCTCAGACCGAATCTCTTTTAGTATTTCGACCCTTAAAATCCAAGAATACGCAACTCAATTGCATCGCTGCAGATTTTTGCTGCGTCATATATATTTTAAAACAAGAAGAGCTAAATTTATTGCTTGCTGTCGTCACAAAATATTTTTCTCTTTTCACGCGGAAAAAAATGAACATTTTGCACTGGATGACTTTGATTAGTTTTTCCATTGAAAGCAAAAACTATGACCGTAAATGTTCGCCTTGCACAAATTAAGGTATGTATTCGCAAAATTTGGGTTTTTGCAAGGAATATTTTCACTCTGAAACAGAACTTCGAAGAAAAAGTTACCCACTTAATATCTTACGGAAAATTTAAGAAAAAATTAAATTGATTTCTAAGCCACTTCCGCGCACAATTAACCTAAAGGTTATGATATTTCAATGACAAAAAAAAGGAAATAATATAGCGGATCGTGGATCTTCAGTTAAAATTAGTTGAGGGGAGATTATTAGTATTAGTCACCTATACTTTAATACAGGCATGTGACTTTCAGCCACACTGCAACAGACGGGAGCCAAACTACTTAAAATTAGAAAATACAGAAAGATGATTATAATAATATGGTCCAGAGCCACTCGTTTGGGTTCCATCCCTAACTGTGATTGAAATTGAAAAAATCCGCCTTAATATTGAAGATTTTAACTCGCACCTCCCTCTTTGATGAGCACCCTAGGAAGTCAAGATAGCGATCCCGCAATCCAAGAGCTGATCTGGGCCCCCGCGGAAAAACCTATCGTCTGTCATCGCGATGAGAGCAAGGAGCAGCTTGCGTAAGCGGAGGATGTTTTTGGGAGAGTTAGTAAAATCCGATAGAGTTACAACGTATTTCTAAAGCAGGATTAGGTTAAGAGGGAATTAAGGCGGGAGCTGGCCGGGGATTATGTCGAGTTTATTTGAGGCACAGGGGGAACCGCTTGCATTATCCACTTTCGTCCCTCGGCCTCAGCCCGAACCTCTGCATCCCTTTTCCTTTCGATCCAGATTTAGTGAAGAAAAAAAGAAGAAGGACCGTAAAAAGCAAAATAAAAAAGGAACTTCATGTGTCCGCACTCAGATTTTTGTCTTTTTGCATGCGGATGAATATATAAAACATGCATGCGCGTGCGGGCACAACTTGCGATTCGCGAGCGAGCCGTATACAAAATTTTAGCAGTGTTGCCGCTTTAACTTTATAACTGCCGGCCAAGTTGATCTGGTGGTCAGGTCTAACACAAGGTCGCTAAGCTCCAGGTTTGATTGGGAGGAAAACATCGCCCTCTCCATGCGAATTCAATAAGCTCAACAGCTTTGTAACGCAGTAACTTTATCCTAATCTGTCTCCAGTTATTAAAATCAGAGGGTCTCCAAAAGAAAGAGAGGAAAACATAGAGGGAAAATCAGTAAGTTGATACAAAACGCTATTGGTTAACGAAGTAAAAGGACATTTTACTATACGTTGCCTCCCGTTTAAGACCCAAAAACGATCGTGAGCAATGTCACACTTTCCTGTCGTGTTGAAAGAAAAATGTCAAGGGAACATCCAAAGATTACCGAATTTTTCCCGACACATTTATTTTCGATAGCAGCAGTGACGTGGCGTGCTTTGCGATATATCGATTGATCCGCAATTTAAACCTATGGGAAAGGATCCATAAACGGGGTGTTCGCAACGATCGGCTTAATAATTGATTCTTTACCGTAGCTTCAAATGGAGGAACATCGAAAATCGACCATTCATGCCTCGCCTCTGGATAATAAATATGCATATTTCTCTTAATTTTTTTTTGAGACGCTTGAGTTATGAATGCCAAACCATGAAAATTTAAAAAAAAAAAAAAAAAAAAAAAAAAAAACATGCGAAAGTTCCTTTAAAGTAGAAATTTGGCAACTTTCGGATATTTATACGGCGTCAAATACACATTTTGGCGAATATGCAGATTTCTCTTAAAATTTTTTTTGAGACGCTTGAATTATGATCGCAATACTATGAAAAGTAAAAAAAAAAACACAAAAAACACAAAAAAACACGCGAAAGTTCATTCGAAGTAGGAATTTGGCAACTTCCGGATGTTCATACGGCGTTTCTCCTCGACGCAGGAACATCCCGCGATCATCCGCGGAGTGACAAACGCGACGATCTTAATTCAAACAGGCCCAAGTCGACGAAGATAATGAGCGAGTGTAAGAGGAGATTAAGTACGAATCAAATTCGGGGGATTATCTGCTCCTCGCGGGCGGAGCCGGGGATTCGCGAGATGGCGCGATTCGCGATTGAAGGCGGGCGAGTCCGGAGCCGCGTGCAGGATGCGCCTGCAACGACGGAGATCGGCAATCCGCGCAACAGTGTTTCCGACAAGCCACCTCGCCTCGGCTTTCGCGTCTGTCACTCGCGGCTCGCATTATCTCCTCGGCTACCGATGTCCCTACGTTGTCACGTTTCAGCGAAATTCAGCGCTGCAATTTTATTGCATCAAAAGATTCCGAAATAATTCCGATTTCCGGAAACATATTCCGATTTGCCAAAGTTCCAAGAAAAATTCCGAAGTACGCCCGGATTTAGTTTCGAAGATCGTCAAATTTGATAAAAAAAAAAAAAAAATCCCTAAATTTGATCAAGTAAATGGTCAAACTGGCGAAAAACTGCAAATTTCGAGGAAATTCCGAAAATAGCTGAAAATTTCGGGGAGTTTGAAGATTTCGGGAAAAGCTCCGATTATTTTAAAAGTTCTGAATTGCAGAATTCATTTCGGGAAATTTCAGCACTGGCGAAATTTGCAACTACTACAAAGGTTTCATGAGAAGAAAACTATACCATCCTTTCAGCGTTATGAAATTTTCATCGATAAATAAATACCTCCAGAGAAAATTCAAGATTCTCCTTCCGGTCAAAGTATCACAAGCGCCGCGCGACGTCTCAAAGTTTCCGCCGCCAAATTATTTTTTACAAAGAAATTGTTCAACGAAGCCGTCCAAAAAGTTCACTGGATTTTCTTCGTGCTGCCGATAAAATTCAGTGAAATTTTTAAACAGATTCAACCAACAAGTTCTCTGTAAAAAAATTCTTAAGTTGGGGTAGTACCGCGGCGCAAAACTTGGGTTAGTAACCTAATTTATCGGGATACCACCACAATTAATTGGGACACTACCACAATTAATCGGGGTATTGCCGCAATTAATTGGGAATGTCCATATCATATAACAGTTGGGACTTGACCCCTAATTTTTTTTTCGTGCCTTCAACGGAAAAACAGGAGTCAATCAAAGGTATCTAAACTGAACATACCTGGACTATTTTTCGAGTTGTCGTCAAAAGAATCGGATTTGGCTACGTTGGGCATGGGTAGTGGACTTGCTGAAACAGGACTGTGTGATGGAGCTGGGGACGGTGGAGGTGATTTGGAACCTGTTGTCAGAGCTAGAGCTTGTGTTTGACACTGAAACAAAACAAAAATAATCACCATTAGTAATTGTAAAAGAATTAGCTTGATCTGGAAAATGACGTTTCAGTCGCAGTTACATCAATCATCATTGAAGAATGAAGATTCAAGTAACGTCTCCAGAATCTGGGGCAGTTTTAGGCCATTAAAATTGAACTTTACTTTGCAGTACCGTGCATGTACTATTTCCGGTTCTTTTTAGAGACAAAATGCGTGACAATCGTTGCTCGTTATATATCAGTGTTTTTAAGGGTAATTCATAGAATAGTAAGTATATATCGTGAAATGCAGTCTCATTGGATCACTAGAGGAGGACTGTATTTTGCAAAAAGAATCCAAAAGAATCGCAATTTTATCCAGATTGTCAAACTTCGGCAATTTTTTTTTTGTTCGATAAATTTATTGAAAGTAGATCAGGATTAAATTTACGAAGGGTGAATTTTTCGTTGAATTAACATTCTCTCTTGTGAGTTGCACTCACAGAAACAGTCAAATTTTTAAATTTCGTATGCGACGAGAAAAATTGCACAGTTGAGGAAGATTGGAGCACTCTAGTTTTTTCTTTGCAAAATATAGTTTATATTTCATTAAAATCAAATCAATTTTTGGCATGGAGTCAGGAAATGCCGGAATCAGTGCTCCCATGTTCCGGAACTAGTTCTGAATTCCGGAACTTTTAAGATTTTCCTGATTTTTCCCGGAACTGTTGAAATCCCTGAAGTGGTACGAATCCTATGCATTTTCCGGAAGTTTCTTGAACGTTTGAGGAAATCTAAAAGAAATCCCGGAAATTTTAAAGGTCATGGAGTGGAAGAAATCGGAACAAAAAAGTTTCGAACCCCGGAAATTTTGCGACGGACATGGAATGGACGCACTGGCCGGAAAGTTCCTTATTTTTCAAATCGTCCGGAGCACTGAATTGCAGAACTCCGTTGACACCGCTAATGCACCGGAGCATCGTTATCCACATCAAATTAAGAATGCAGCAATGGTCCACGAGAGATAGGCAAAGAGAGGATGGGAACCAGACCGACGAGGAGGCACGCTGATCGCGCATTCCGGAGGGTAAGGCAGACCTTGAGCGAGTCCGGAGTACAAAAATCAGAATCTAGAGCGAGTCCCAAAAATGCGGCACAGATCGGGCGAACTCCAAACCTTGAACCTCAGCCGGGAGCCAAGTGAAATACTAATTACTGCGACAATCGGAGGAAGATCATACTGCCCGGCGCACGGTGGATCGAGTCAATAGGAGAGGTCGGACCGAATCGGGAAACTTCAAACGATTATAACTCCATTTATACACAATTTTGAGCTTCTGAAAGTGGTTTCAATGGTTTCCTCGTGAAATTTTCCGTCAGAGACACTCCTTGAAATTTAAAATATGACGAAATAAAGATCGAAATCTTGCAGTTTAAGTCAAAAATTTCATGTACGACCTCTTCAATTGACTCGATCCACTGTGCGGCGAGGCGCGGAGCGGGGAAGCACCACCCGAGGCGAGAAAATGGGATGAGGCACCGCGAAGACGCGAAGACTCTGGATGCAACGATGCACCGGAGTGGAGAGGCCGGGGGGGGGGACCCCGGTGACCAGGCACAATGCGCATGCGCCGAGCCGAATTAGATCCACCAAGGACCATAAATCGGGAATGCGAGGAATGCGGGTAATAGGAGCCAAAAAATGCGCCGATAAGCGAACCCGATCGAAGAACAAAAACGGGTGAACGCACTTTAATTGAGATTCATTGAGTAATTTCTCCGAGTCGTGGATTTCGTCGCGGGGGTAATCTGCCGCGGTCCGCGAAGACGACCTATTTGAATCGGACTAATTTCCCGCGCACGGGGAATGTCAACAATTCGACGAGTCCGGCAAGCGCCGGCCTTGGAGTCATATTTTCAACTATTCGAGGCATCCGAAAAACTTCATGGCCCTAATCGATTCAGCGCACCTTTGATCACGTAGTTTTTACATCACATTTCCTTGCAATTGCACTCGCGACGCTTCCTAACCTCTCTCGCCTCTCTGTCGACTCGTCACCGGTCAGCCGGCTCTGTCGGATCTGAATTTTCTTCGGGACCTTTTCTTCGGTCTCGTTCTTTATTGAATTATGCAAATTGTAATCTTAGGCTGAGGTGGATTAGCCGAGATGACCGACTATGGCTTTGGAGAGTGCCACCCACGTAGACCCGTACACGCACACCATCGCCCTCGGAGACAATATGTTTCAGAGGCTCCGTTCACTATATTTTCCTAAGAGTATAATGGAGTTGTTGCATGTGTGAGGAATTTGCGATTTGATTGTTGATTCTGATGTAAAAGTTCGCGAGAGACACGATGGTGCCACTGGTTTTTTCTGAAATCAACTCCCAAGCTCAAAAAAAGCTCTCAAGTTGAGGCCAAAACGGAGGGGATATCCCGCCCTACCCTGCGAGTCCACGTCCACATCAAGACAAACTCTCCATGCAAAGATAGGGAGCAAATACATTAGCAGTGATTTTCAGTTTTAGAGCCTCCAAATAAAATGGCAGCCTTGTCAATGTATTTGCTCCCTATCTTTGCATGGAGAGTTTGTCTTGATGTAGAGGTGGACTCTCAGGGTAACGTGGGATATCCACTCCATTTTGGCCTCAACTTGAGAGCTTCTTTTGAGCTTGAAAGTTGATTTCAGAAAAAACCAGCAGCACCATCGTGTTTCTCGCGAACTTTTACATAAGAATCAACAGTCAAATCGCAAATTCCTCACACATGCAACATCTCCATTGAGGGGCTTGTAGGAGAAGGCGCATACGTGCAGTTTTTAGTATTTCCAGAAATACGTGTTTGAAGTTTCGAAATTACATAGATCCTATGGCGAAAAGGAAGTTTGAGCTGACTTTATGATGCTTGAAAATTGGAATGTGGAAGCGAATTTTTCAAAGAATAAGCAGTAAGACTAGAATTACTTGAAATCATTGATACCTCAATTTTTTCGAAAACTGCACTTTTGCGCCGTGTCCTCCAAGCCCCTCAATGGAAGTCACTTCGGAAGTTGACGCTTAGATTCATTTAATGATGACTGATGACCGGAAAGTTAATCAGTGGGTTTACCTAACCTGATTTGCAACATATATGCAACATATATGCTACCCGTTTCCTATGCACTTACGTATTTTTACGGATGAGCTAGAGATTGTAGTCCTTGATTGCAAAATGAAGTCCAATTGCCTCGGAGATGCACCACTGTGCGGTGGACGGAGTTTGGGGGAGTTGAGCGATGCACATAACCCTTAACCCTCCCTCTTTTGCTCACTCGCAAGTCTCTGCCGTGGCATTCAATTACCTTATTGTCTGTATAAATAAACCTTACTTGGACGTATTTATGCTAAAAAAACTATGTTACATTTAAACGCCATGCACATAGCTTGTTTTAACATAAACACGTTCACTTGGAGCATGATAACGATTTGTTCAAGTCGTCGATGTCGCCCAACGTGCTGCCATTGATTGAAGCGCGGTCATGGATTATTGCTCGAAGCTTTTTCGACTATCTGGTATGAATGTTGCACTGGGGAAAAAACGCAATCATACGAACCGAAGTTCGGTATTCCGCGTATTGATTGAATTATTCGGTTTGCCAAATCAAACTTCGATTCGTATAACCGGAGTTCACTTCGTCTAACCAAACCATTGTTCTCAGTTTGATTCAATCCGAAAGTTTGATCACGTGACCCAAACGTTCAGTCGGACGAATCGAAAGATGGCTTAATCAATTGAATGATTCAATCAAAATCGGACACCGAACTTGAGTTACGTGCAATAATCTGTTATGTCCACGATTCAAGGGAAGGAAGGAAGCAGGGGAGAGGAAGCAGAAGGAGACAAATGAGACGGAAAAGAAGGAGAAGACAAAGAAGAAGACGGAGAATAAAAAAGAAAAAGAGAGGTATAAAGGAAGAAAGAATAATGGATAAGTGAGGACGAAAGGAAGAAGAAGAATGAAGGATAAAGCAGGAAGAAAAGAGGAGGAAAAAAGAAAAAAAACAGAAAGAAGAAGGTGGAAAAAGGAATAAGAGGAAGAAGAAGAAGAAGAAAAAGAAAAAAATAGAAATAAGAAGAAGAAAAAGAAGAAATAGAAATAAGAAGAAAAGGAAGAAATAGAAAAAAGAAGAAAAATGAAAAATAAGAAGAAGAAGAAAAAAAAGAAAAAAAGAGAGAAGAAGAAGAAGGAGGAGAAGGAGGAGAAGGAGGAGAAGGAGAAGGAGAGGAAGAAGGAGAGGATAAAGAAAAAATAGGAAGAGGAGAAAAAAGAAAAATAGGAAGAGGAAGTAGTAGTAGAAGAAGAAGAAGATCGGAAAAAATAGAAGAAGGTAAGAAGAAGACGAAGATGAGAACAACTTTATAACACAAGGGAATCTGTGAAAACTTGAATAAATACAAGAGTCGCAAGTCATGTAAGCGCTTCACGCGGTTGCATACTTTTTGTGCCCCTCGCGACGACGCGGTCCTGATTAAACACTCGTAGAAATTGATGGATAACAGTGCTGAAGAGCGTGAGCGCTGGTCGGGAGTCCGGAGCAAAGACAGAAGACAGTGTGCCGGGCCGGGAACGCAGATGGGTGAGTTTATGCGGATCCCGAGACCCACAATTAGGATCGTTTAAAGCCGCTCATATGATTCATGTGTCACTACTTAAGAGCCGCTGCACGGAGCGACTCTAGCGGGCGCAGCCCGGACCATAGATCCCTGAGCCGCCGGCCGCGGCCGCGACTGGGTAATGAATGACAAAAATATACTAATCAAAACCACGATGAAGTTCAAGTGAAGCCGGTTTCAATAATTGAGACCAGCTCGGAGCGCACGTCGCGGCCGAAGGGGGAGCGGACAGCGGAGGGTGCGGCAGGGCGCGGCGGGGACGGTTGATCGGGCGCGCAACTAGGTGACGAGAACATGGCTAGTAATCCCACAGCTTGCTAAGCCGGGGTTAAGTGAAGTCAAATGGCGTAAATGTAGGAATGTAG